ATTTTGGTCTTTATTTACACTTTCAATCTCTCACACCAAAGAAACCATGAATATTTGAATGTGTATGTCTGATGTATTTCACTTAACTTTGGTCTCAAAGTGCTTTCACTTAGGTAGAACGTGGCAAACTTCTTATGGCTTAGTAACTTGACTGTGTTAAAAAATATTTTTTAAAAAATCATTTATATAATTTGTACAGGGTCTTGTTACACAGCTGACTCACAGTGATCCCATCTCAGGCTCCTCAGCGCTAGTACTACAGGCACACATGTAGTCCCAGGGATCCAACCCAGGTCCTTGTGCTTGCCAGGCAGGCACTTAGACCCCTGAGCTATCTTCCTGGCCCAACCACATCCTTTTTATCCACTCACTGGTTGATAGGGCATTTGGGTTGTTTCCAAGAGCTATTACAAACTGTGTGGCTACAAACACGCGTCTACATATAGCGCTGTGGTATGTTTTAATTCTTTTGGGAACATACCAAGGGGAATAGCTGGGTCAAATAAACCTCTACTTTTGGTTGAGGAACCTGCACAATGGATTTCCACAGTGGTTGTACCAGTTACACTCCCACCAACTGTGGAGAAGAGTTCCTTTTTTCCCCACAACTCTGAGAGCATTTGTTATTGGCTGATTTCTTGATGACAGCAATTCTTTCCAGGGTGGGAGGGAATCTCAGCGTTGTTTTAATTTACATCCCTCAAATGACTAGAACATTTTTCATATATCTGCTCTTTGTACTCCTTCATTTGAGAAGTACCCATTCACTTCAGATGCCCATTTTTGAATTTGTCTTTCAGTTCTTTATATATTCTAGGGGGCCTATGGGTTAGCTCAGTTGTTTAAGTGTCTGCTCATGCAAATGCAGTCAGGCAGGCACAGGGTCCACAATTCAATCCCCAGCTCCACATGCCTTATCAGACCTGCCCTTAAGGCAGCTTGAACCAGAAAAAAAAAAAAAAAAAAAAAAAAAAAAAAAAATCCTTCTCATCTCTATATATTCTAGATAGTAGTCCTTTGTCTGGAGAATAGCTGGCAAAAATTTTTCCCGTGCTGTAAACCAAACTGCCTATGTTGCAGGGTAATAATAAGCTTCTCTTCTGGAGGGTTAACAACCTAAATTTGCATATCAAAAATTGGAGAAAAAGAAGGGCTGCAAGGTCAGCCAACATTTTGGCCGTAGCCTTTTAAGGTCAATGAAGACTCAGGACATAGGAGAACCTGTACTGTAACACCATGTAACTCAGCTGTGCCCCAAATTTTCTGATCAAGGAGATGATGGAGCCACAGAGGAATGTGATCGATGATGTATAATATGCCTAAGGAGAGTCACCTGGAGAGAAAACATTCTCTCAGGCTTTCACAGAGAGCACATTGGTCAAGCAATGCCCGTGACTCATCCACATGGCTGACACCGACAAACGATCTACAAAGTGCAGTACAGGGTTACAAGATAAATCCTGAGGGGACTTGACTGATCTTATCAGATACAAAAGTTACATTTCTTGCTATATAGGTCTGTCTTGATTTATCTTGGTCTTAACCATCCAGCAGAAAAGTAGAAAAACGAGGTATATAAAGTAAAGCCATATTAATATGCTGAGCTGTAAAAGGCTCAAGTTACCAACTTCTGCGGTCAACCCACTACTACTATGGACTGCTGGACTGTGTTGGATTGTTTGGCTGAATTCAAGCACCTATAGTATTTAGATGCCAATAGAATACCCATCTCTGACAGGACTAAACAAAATAAGGGGATACAAAGGAAGGACCATTTTGTATTTGTACATACAGAATAGTTAGGATAGATATACAGCTACTTTCACTTAATTCAATGAGAAGATTTGTACTAACAGTATTTGGACAGGATATCCTGTCTGCTTCTTGTACTATGGATAATCACTAAGAAGATAACAATGTACAAAGTATTAATTATTGAAACTGTCCTATTAATCAGCTTTGAAACTGTCTCATTGATACTTGTTTCTCAATAAAATAAAAAATTAAAAAAAAAATTTTTTCCCCTTGCTGGGTTCTCTCTTCACTATGTTGGTTTCTTTCGCTGTACAAAAGCTTTTTAATAAGATGAGATCCCAGTTTTTGATTCTGGTATTTCCTCGGCAATTGTGGTTTTGTTCATTAAGTCTGCCTCCACCAATGTCTTCAAGAGTTCTACCTATTCTATAGCATTATCCACTTTTCATGTCACCTTTCTCTAACCTTGAACATTGTTGAATGTTTCGGAAAATCAATCATGGCTCAAACTACAAATACTTACCCATCAAGCATTCAGAATGCTCAAGGCTATGATTCTTGTTGGTCAGTGTCTCTATATTGTGCCCTGAAAGTTTTCATCCTCTTCGTTCTGTGTAAGGATCTGTAAAACAGCAGTGAAAATGAAATACTCAACAAAACTGAATTTGGTGGTACATTCCTAGAATCCCAGCACTCTGGTTGGTAGAGATAGGATTCCAAGTTTAATCCCAGCCTTACTAAGCCCCATGGCCTTAGTGAGATCCTGTCTCAGCTATAAAAAAAATTCAAATAGGGATAGAAGTGAACCTACTGGGAAAGCCCTGAGTTCAGTCTCTAATCCTGCAAGAAAAGTAAAGGTAGGGGAGAGGAGGGACTGCAAATAAAAGCGGAAGGAAATTGAAAAATAGTACTGAGATGAAGGGAAAAGATCAAAAGAAAAAATACCGAAAAGCTGCTCCGAAGCTTCCGGTGCAGTTAATTTCTAGACCTTAATGACAAATAGACTGCCAGTCTCATTTCATCTTGAGGGGATCCTTCCAGTGAGTCAAGCAACTCAATTTCCACAAACCCTCTCTCTCCCTCGTGAGATCAGAGTCCACCAGTGGTAAGACACTGATGTAACTCCACTGCTTACATAGTAATACATGAGACCGTCCCTCAACCAACACCCTCCACATTCTTGTGTATAAAATAATTTTCTCTTTAAAACTGTCAATCCTGTTCATTGGAACCTACTAATTCAAAGCACCATAGATCTTGCTTGATGAATCCTCAAAGGAGCAGGGTTAGAAAAGATGTTTGTCTTACTCATCTTGCCTGTTATTTTATCTTGATACCATGCTGCCTCTGTATATTATTACCCATAACCGAGTGACACAAACTTAAATATCACTGGAGCAAACCCATGAAGGCAGACCAGCCTTTTGTATTTATTTGTGTGTGTGTGTGTGTGTGTGTGTGTGTGTGTGGCCAGCTCAGCCCACCAGGGGGCGGGGTTGGCTGGCATGTGGTGCTGGGAAATTGAACCGCGGTCCTTGTGCTTTGCTAAGCTTGTTCTAAGTAGGTGCTTTAGACCACTGAGCCATCTCACCAGCCCAGCAGCCTTTTGTATTGCTCTTTCAGTTTATAAGCAAAGAATCTCCCCCCTTTTTTTTTTCCTTTTTAGTTTTGAGACAGGTGCTTGCTACATAGCCCAGAATGACCTCCATGAGCCTCCTGCCTCAGACCTGATATACACCACTACACCCAGCCCATAGCAAAGAATTCTAAGTACTAGTGTAGATTCCAAAAACCTAACTTGTTACCCACTTAATGAATTATGAAAACTTGTGTACATGCACGTATACAACACAGGTTAGGTTTTGACTCTCCACAGACACTTTTCAGCCAAAGGTGTAGAGGCTAATACTGAGCCTCGGGTCAAAACACATTGGGGCAACATTATTTTTAAAACTGTATCAAGTATCTACATTCTCTACTACTTTTATAAATAACATGCATGAGAAAAAAATGAATTTTTTAAATATTCCTACTTCTGTCAAAATATACATGGAGTCTCTAATCCTAAAACTCTGGGGAGACTAAGGCAGGAGGATCTAAAGTTCAAGGCTAGCCTGGGCAACTTAAGTGGGAACCTGTTTCAAAATAAACTAGGGTGAAAAGGGGTTGTGTGAAGGCTTTGCATTCAGTTCCTAGTACACAACACACACACACACACACACACACACACACACACAAAGCATCTGAGGAAGCCTCCAAAGCAGAATGTCAGAGACCAACAAATTCACAAATCCTTATGTATGACAGAAACTTCTAAGATTAGCAATTATCTGTTTCAAACTTTCTATTTGTGTAAAACAGGAAAACATCAATTTGTATAGAATGTCAGAATAGGTTTAGTAATAAATCTGGCTTGACATGAATGTGGTTATTTTCCCAGAAAAATGATAAAAATGCTTAAATTAACTCAAGATGGAAGTAAAGCTATAATCTATACTTGTCAATTCATTTTGTTCTAAATATTACATATCTGCAAGTGAATGTTGTTTTTTTTTTTTTTTTTTTCTCTCCTGTTCAGAAACATACAACTTTTTTCATGAGCTGGTAAGATCCAGATGCCTGAATTGAGAATTGGAGGGGCCAGGGAGATGGCTTAGTAGAGTAAGCACTTCCCTGGCAAGCGCAAGGGTCTGAGTTCAATCCTCAGTTCCACCAAAAAGAAAAAAAAAAAAAAAAAAAAAAAGAGAGAGAGAGAATTGGAGTGGGGTGAGACAAGGTGTCCTTATGTAGCCTAGGCCAGCCATGAACTTTTAGTGATGCTCCTGCTTCAGCCTCCCCATTGATGGGTTAAAAGCACAAACTGTCAAATCCAATCGAGAATGCTATTATTCCTTAACCCATTAGTAGGCTTGCTATAACAATTTATTTTCCAGGATTAAAAGATTTTTTTCTCAGGGCCAGGGAGATGGCTCAATAGAATAAGCGCTTCCCTGGCAAGCGCAAGGGCCTGAGTTCAATCCCTGGTTCCACCAAAAAAAAAGAAAAAATGTTTTTTTCTGATGTTATACCCACCTTATTTCATAAATGCAAAACCATCCGGACTTATAAGACCATGTTATTTTAAGTAACAAAGAGATTTCCCTATTATCTGAAACACTATACTAAGCCCATATGAATTTTGCTGCTTATTTACTGTTTTCTTTGCAGCAGCAGTGAAGACCTAGAGCTAAATTTGTAATTAAATCTCATCTCCAGGAAGAGACTTCCATACTCGAAGAACCAACCCCTTTTTATTACTAAAATGTGATTTGCAATGTATTTTTATCTCTTTTTCATCCTTCCCTCATTAGCTAAGATACAATTTATATGTCACTGAATCTGTCTAGCACTCCATAGTGCTCCTACAAAAATTAGTTAACCCTGAAATCTTTGCCTGGTAATTCCAAAGCCAATGTAAAATACTATAAAACATAAACTTGAACAAAATATCATGTAACATTTAATAATTGCAAATATATTTATTACAATTTACAGATTAGTTAAGTTATATACACAAATAGAATTTGAGCTATAAAATACCAATGAACTGGTGTAAAGAGGCTAATTTAAAGTTTCTAGAACCCTAACTTCACCTTCCTTAAATTATAAAAAATAAAATCTGGTAGTTTTGATTTCAAGTTACAGAGGAGAAGGTGTTATCACATTTCATCACTAGAAATGTAAATTTCACCTGTCTGTACAATCCCTTTCCCGTGCTACATTGACACTTAAAGCACCATTACAAGACTTTATTATATAAAGCATTTACTTAAAACCTCTCAGGATTTTCTTCTAAAGACTGGCAGAGGCTGTGGGCTGAGGGGTGGATATCACTTGAACATTTGGAGTTGGGATGACAGTGACATAAATTTTCTCCCTTTCAGACCCATTATACAAAAATCCCTTCTGCCCTTTTCATCACTGTCTGATCACTTCTAAAGGAAAGTGGTATATAGGGAAGAATTCCTAATCAAGGTTTTACTCATTAGGTGGTAACGGTGGATTCCCAATGTAACAATTTTCCAAAGACCATTGAATGTAAGCTGCCCTATTATTTTCCAATATGTAGAAGTGCTGGATTTCAGAAACACAAAATACAAGCTAAGTCTCAAACAAAGCAGTATGCTTCTGGTTGGTTTAAAAAAGAATGCCTCTGCACTGTCTCACAGCTTTTTACAAGGCAAATGGCACCTGCTTTGCAACTGACGCAGCTGCAGCTGGGAACCAGACTGCTCCTATACTATTAAACCACCCTGCAAGGGCAGTCTCACACAGGACTGAAATGGAGGTGCACAAAACACACAGAATAAGGGCTCTTCAAAAATCTGGCCAATTGTTATGGTACTGCACTCTCGGTGTACCAACAAATATACCTAACAGTGGAGGCAGTTCTTAAAGTGGGCCAAATAAAATAATGACCAGGTAGGTTATAAACTGAGGTAGTAACCCACCAGCACATTGGATGAAAAATACATCCTCACACTACTAGGTACAAAACTAAGTGGTCACGTACTCTAACGCTTTCCACTGCCTGTGGCAGGAGACACCTGGAGGAAAAACAGACCATTCAAGAGTTGGCTAACATCCCTTCAACCTAACAGATACGCAACATGTGAAATCTAACTACATAAACCAACCACAAGCAGTCAATGCTAAGACTTTAAATTTGGGCTAAAGATATTAAGACCTTCTAACTGTTAAATCTATAGTTTCCCCTTTTCTGAAAGTATGAACCTTGTCATGTCTTCTCTCGTTATTAAAATAGTAGAGCACAATAAACCTGAACATTAACTGAAATTAGTATTTTACATTTCAAACTTAAGAATCCAGAACTGCCCAGTTCCACGTTTACAATGTCACCCTGACACAGGTTTTAAAAGTGACAGTGCTGAGGCATATTAATAACACTGGTGACTGTTGAACACATAGAACAAAACCCAATTATTGACATGTCTCTTATCTTCCTTTTAGAGAATTCTATGCTTTTGAGTTTAAAAACCAAATGCCTATGATACAATTATTAACTTTTCCAGAGTGTTTTACAATTTCTATCCATTTAATGTTAACAAAAAGTACACTCACTCAGGAACTAAAACATATTCAAAACGCTCTCCAAAGAACAGAAATCAAAAATATCTGATATTTAAAATTTGGCAGAAAGAGGCAGTTTCCCCCAACTTGCAGAAGAGTACTGCACGTGAGTATGTTGTGGCAGCCCTTGGAAATGTAAGTAGAAATTAATGTAAAAAAAGAAATTCACCATATACTTTCAAAAAAATCAATCTTAAAAGTGACACAAGATAATGTTCTTTAAATGTATAACCATATACCTGGTTATATTTTTAGCCTTAAGGTGGACAGGCTAAATCACTGAAATAGAAAAATATACAGAAAAACCTAAAAGGCCACTAATTTCAGAATGTTGGAGAAAGGGGAGCCAAAGCTTTTACAAAAACATACATGATTTAAATTAGAACTGAAAATGGGACTTAAGCCCTATAAATATTGTTCCCAAGAAAACAAGTTTTGAAAGTGCAAAATTAACAACTCAAAAGGTCCCCTTCTATCTCAAGGAAGGAAAGGACATTTAAAACCACATCTAAATAACTAAAAATAAAATAAGAAAAGATTAAAAGTCATATATCCTTCATTGTCAGGGCTGGCTTCAAACCTAGTTTCTATATAGGAAATGTTACCAAAAAAAAATACTAAATCAGAGGTCATTGGATTAAGTTAAATTTCCTCTAATTTAAAAGACAAAACAAAACAAAAAACAAACAACAGCTACAAATATTCTTTCTTTTGGTACTGGGAATCAAATTTAGGACCTCGTGCTTGCCAGCCAGGTGCTGTGCTGCTGAACCACATCCCCAGCCTCCAATAATTCTTTTTAAGAAGAAACCTCTAAAGAAAGAGGTAGTGTATGCTAGGGGCAACACACTGTCAACTCAACATTGCTGGACAACATTAAATTCTTTGATGCATATGTTCTGAAGTCTATTAAACATTCTTTCTCTATACTCAAAAGTCAAGCAATATCCAATAGCATCTTCTGTTTCTTGAATTCGTTTCCGGAACCTGCATGCATCCCTTGCCAATTCTTCCCATGGTCCTTTGCGATCCTCATCACCACTTACATAATACTCAGTAACTTCTTCAACAAAGGTTACCTGTAAAGACAAAAACTAATTTTAATAATTCTCTTAAGATATTACAATTAAGACTGAGAAGTTATATCAGTACAGGTACAAAGTCTCTATGATGAATGTGTTTGTTATGTATATCTAAAATGTATCAATAAAAATCTGATTGGAAAAAGAAAAAAAATCATTAGGTCAATAACCCTTCATGCTGATTTTTCTTTAACTTGTAGTATCTTATAGGAAACTTATAGTTTTGTTCCCAGCGACATCTAAAATTTTTAAAAAGGATCTAAGCAGATGGTAATTAGATAAAAAGTGAACAACTGCCCTGAAACTTGCATAATTCTCTTTCTCTTACACACACACACACACACACACACACACACATACACACACACACCCCATCCCCCCCAAACATACACCGGTCTCCCCAACTCTAGACTTGGTTTTTAGTGTTAATAAAAATGGTTCAGGTGGAGAACAAAGACTTTCTTACTGTTAATCCTTGCTATGCTTTAATATGTAAGAGAAATACAGTTCTGTGACAGTTTCCAAAAAAAAAACTGTTGCACAAAATTAACCTCTATGACCCTGGAAGCTAATGTTTTTATCATAGTGAAGACCTTAATAATATTTTTATTTCTACTCTTCAATTTAAAAACCTTGTGTATTTCATTGCTTTCCAAAATTTGAATCACTGATTTTTACATTACTTTTATAATTAAAGTATAAGAGAAAGTTACTTGGCAAGCAAGGTAAAGTATCTTTAAGGCTGTGCTCAAGAGACTTTGGAGTTAGAATTTTAAAGCTTTAAAAATATAAATGCTGTTTGGTATGTTTGTAAATTTACTGTTTTCCCTACTTCTTAGACATGTTGAGAATTATTGATAAAAACACTGTGATTTTATTTTTGTTTTGTTTTTGGTACTGGGGATTGAACTCAGGACCTTGCACTTGCCAGGCAGGCGTTTATTCTACTGAACTATCGTCCCCGCCCAACACTGTGAATTTTAGAATTTTTGACATGTAAGTAATGTGTATGTAAAAGTAACATACATATTTTAGCAAAGCACCTGGTAAGGACAAGGTCCTTAGTTCAGTTCTCAGTGCCAAAATATAGATATAAAATAAACATAATAACAAGTTAAAAAAATACTGAAGCACTGTATTCAGTATATTATCATACATGAGAGGGTATCCCTTACCTGAAACATTTGGGACCAGATTTTGAAGTGTTTTAAGAGTTCAGCATATTTGCATGAACTTTACCAGTTGAGCACTCTTAATTGGAAATCCAAAATACAAATTTTTTGAGCATCATGTTGGTACTCAGAAAGTTTTAGAATTTTCTGTTAGGGAGGCTCATGTACATGAAACTGTGACTATTATACAAGATGACATGTAATGAATAACAATCCCTACTTGTTACAAGTGCTTTCTACTTAATCCCTAACTTAATTTCTAATAAAGATGTTATCAAACTAAGCTATCAAACTCAAAAAGTATAGAATTGCTTTAAACTATGTTTAACAGTTACATCAGCTAACCCCACTGAGGCCCTACTACTTTCGTTCCCTTTACATCAGGCCAAGGAATACACCTGAGGATAATTAATAGGATGTAACACCTTACAAGATATTGCATTCTAGTCGTTATTTATCGTCACTGAAATAAATAATAACAAGCACTTTTATAGTGTTTATCATATGCCAGCCTCTTTTCAAAGAGTTTTATAATTTTACCTCATTTAACTCTCAAGTCAAATCTGTGAAGTGTAAACTATTATCCCATCGTACAGATAAAAAGAGGTTAACTGACATGGTTAAAATCACATAGCACCTAAGAGGTATAATCAGGATTCTAACACTGTCTGGCTCTACAATATGCATTATTCTGCCAGGGTTTGAAATATTTTAAGCTCCTAGAACTGAGGGCCTCACTCCAAGAATTAGGTACTACCCATTTTCCACATACCTAAAGAATGGCAGGTAGTTAAAGCCTGTCTAATAATTGAGACATACATCATAAACTTTTCTAAGTTTGTTTCTCTATAGTTCAATCGATAGTCTCACATCCACTTCACTCATTTCATTGTACTCAATGAGCTAAAATCAGACAGGAGACTGGCCTGAGTCACTCCAAAGATATTTACTCATCTCACCTAAATTTTGTAACTGCATGGGGCTGTCTGTGGATGTGGCTCAGTGGTAGAGCAGGTGCTGAGCATACACAAAGCTCTGGATTCAATCTTCAGCACCAGACACACACACAAAAAATCCCAAAATAAATCTTACTTTACAACGAATACTATTCTCATCGAATAAGTGGCTGGATGGAGGCCAAGAAAGTCAATCAAGCTATTTCTCAGGTCTAGTGGTCACCCTAATCTCTTGGCCCTAACCACTCAGCAGTTCAGAGCACAGGTCTCCAGAAGCCAAGTGTCCCACTTTGGTTCTTGCCTACTCACTCAAAGTAGGTCATTTTGTCAGGGGTTCCTAAAAAGGATAAAAAGTTCTTTTAGCATATCGCAGCATATCTCATACCAAATGTGAGCTAAAATTTAATTTTTGATGTGACAGATTAAGACTTGTCTTACTACCACCGTTAAAAAAGATTTTCTATCCTAGGAATACTTTCAAAGTTTTAAATTAGTCATTTCCAATGGATTGTGGTACTATGAACTTAGATCTCCCTCATGCTGCAGAATCTGAGGTCACTAGTAACTCACTCACTACTCATGTCTTCCCAAACAAAGGTACAGCAAACTAAAAAAACTTCTTCTACAATACTTAGATACCCTTATGATTGGCATGGGGTTTCTTTTCGGTTAGTAACCTCAGCTGAGTAAAGCCAAGTTTAAAACACTTCCCAAATTAGGGGCCATGGAGATGGCTCAATAGAATAGGTGCTTGCCTGGGAAGGGCAAGGGTCTCAGTTCAATCCCTGGTTCTGCCAAAAACCAAAGCAAAAAAAACACTTCCCAAATTAGATGAAGCTGACAATACAGTAAAAGACAAAAATGGTCTAGAGGTTTTAAAATTAGCTTGAGAGGGGGTGGGAGATAGCTCAGTGGTCTAGGGAGCTGGGCGCATGCCTGTAATCACAGCGCTGGGGAGGCTGAGACAGGAGGATCACTACGAATCCGAGCTGTGTAGTGAGACCCTGTACTAAATAAATAAATAAATAAAACTAGCTTGAGAAGGCCGGGTGTGGTGACACCAACCTGTAGTCCCAGCCCCAGCATTTGGGAGGCTAAGGCAGGAGGATTGTTGTGAGTTCAAGACCAGCCTGAGCTACCAAGTGAGCTCAAAGTCAGCCTGAACTGCTGCATAGCGAGACCCGGTCTCAAAAAGACAGACAGACAGACAGACAGACAGACAGACAGACAGACACACACACACACACACACACACACACACACACACAAATAGCATAAGAAGAGGAAGCAACTACTCAAGATAAACAAATACAAGATCACCACTATTTGTAACTGGCCATTGTAACTAGTATTTCATTCTTTTAAAAAAAGAGTATCAGGGGGGCCTGGCCTTAGCTCAGTTGTTTAAGTGGCTGCTTCCACAAAGCAGTCAGCCTCAGGTTGCTGTAGTTCGATCCCCACAACACTACAGCCAGCCAAACCACCCCTCAGGGCATTTAGAGCAAAAAAAATAATAAAAAAATAAAAAAAGAGTATCACTTTGTGTATTGTTTTTAAATAAATAATGGTCAATCAAAACCAAGTAAAGACAAAAAGTATGGTATGTCACAACAAACCATATAAATAGTAAATGACTTATTTGATATATCGCTTTGGGCTCTAGTAGACAGGAATAAAGACAAGGTTGCCAATCAAATAAAAGATTGAGTATTTGCAAACAAATAACTATTTAAAACAATCTTCAAACTATGGCTATAACAGACCCTTTTCCAGCTCTAGAAAAATTAAGTCACAAGTACACCAATTTAGTATTTCTTTTCTCTAAAAGAGAACAAGGGGGCCGGGGAGATGGCTCAGTGGAGTAAGTGCTTCCCTGGCAAGCGCAAGGGCCTGAGTTCAATCCCTGGTTCCGTAAAAAAAAAAAAAAAAAAAAAAGAGACTGAGAGAGAGAACAAGGAAGCTGAAACAGTTCAGTCATCAACCCAAATGAAAATGGCAATTTCCTGCTGAAAACTATACACTGGGGTTTTCCTTTTAAATGAAACAGTTCTCTGTATCAAAGGAGAAACAGACATTTGAACAATCTCAGTCCACACATAGAACCCAAATAAGTTCCTCAAAAATATGACAATTATGCCTCCAACAAAGTCATACTACTGTATCAAACTCTACCAACACAGAACAAATTATCAAGACATGTTAAAAAGAAACTAACCTTTTTTCTTTTGATACACATGTGTTTTTCTACAATTTCATGCTGTAGCAAATTTGGACATTCATCTTCTTGGCGTCCTAACAGTTGCACCTTACAAGAAAGTAAGTTGTGACACTCAGAAATGGCCACCAAGGACTCAGGTGGTCTTTTTGAGTCAAGACAGGCTTTCAAATCTTTTCCTGATGTCTGAAAGGGAGCTGTAAAATTTAAAAGGTTGTATGGGTCATCAGAATTACAGAAAGAGTTCCACAGCTTGAGACTCTCTGCCTCATCTGCACTGGATTCCCAGTCATCTTCCTCCTCAGAATTAGAATCATGGGTCTCAGGAAAGATTTCAGCCTGGGGAGAATTCTCTAGATCTGACTTGTCAGACAAATCCTTCCCTGAATCAGAAGGTTCTCCAGGAACAGTTCTGGGAGCTGTCTGAATTGTTGCTGTAAAGTTTTGGGGATTATAAGGATCTCCACTGTAGAAGGAATTCCAAAGGTGGAGTTCTTCAGAGTCCTGCTCCAGGTCAGACTCTGACAGTGAGCCGTCACTATCAAAACCAGCATCTTCATCTTCCTCATCCCAACCTTCACCTTCCGAATCCGAACTTGTTTCCAGGTCGCTGGATGCACCTCCCAAAATGTAATCGATCAGCTTGTTACCGCAAGCGGGTCTGACAGAAAGGGGAAGGTCATCTTCTATGTCAGAGGAGTCGGCTACACTGACTTGGTCCTGCCCAGGCTGTTCTTCCACAGCTACCTCAACACATGAAAAGCTTTCCAAAGGGGCTCTTTTTTCCAGACCAAGTAGAACCTCCTCGGTCAACAGCTCTCTTTTTTCCTCACCAGACTCATGGTTGCCTGCTGGCACTGCTCCAGTAAGAGGAACAGAATGTGTTGTGGTACCTGCACTGTGTTGCACATCTGCCCGGAGAAGACCGTGTTCCTCCTCCAGGCTGTGGTAGCCATTGTCTTGGTCAGGTGTAGGTAATTCTTGTCCCTTGCCAGTCTGCTGAAGGAATTCCAGCCGTTTCATACGAACATGGTGGATTTCGGGGAGGCCTCCTCCGGAAAGAGGTGGATATCCCTGCCAGGAAGTTGCAGAGAATTCTGCAGGCAGTGCCTGGGAATGATAATGGTCTTCTGAAAGGCAGCTGTTCTCTGGAGTTAGTGTCTGGACACCAACTAGCTCGCCCCGTCCAGGGCGGTTCTCACAGCTGAACTCTAGCCCTGTAAGGCAGTCCAGGTAGGAGGGGTGCAGCAAATAGGAAACAACGCTGAAACTGTCCAAGCGCTGAACGTTTAGAAGGCCAGGAGGGCCAGAGCCACCTTCTCGGTTACTGAACAGATGGGCTTGAAGGCCTCTATGCAGCAGCTCCATGCCCCACAGCTGCTGCCCCATGAGAAAAGCATGGGTTGAAGGGTTCAAAGCTCTGCCCTCGGCTTTGAGCCCCAACCCTAGGTCAGAGGACGCACACTGCCACGGGTCCCCCTTCTCTTGCCAATCAAGGGGACTGGGAACTGAGCTGTCCAAAAGGTCGGGCTGCAGCTGCTGCAAGCTCACGGACTTTTTCTGCGCACTGGGGGCGGCCGCTTCCTCGCGTCCCTTCAAGGCTCTCAAGAGGCTGTAGCCTCCGGCGAAATCGAGCCATCTGGTCGGAATCAAGCCACCGAAAAGCTGGCCCCACATCAGCAGCTTCTGGAGCAAGCTAGGGAGCGGGGCGAGGAGCTGCGAAAGGAACTTCGTCCAGGAGCTGATCCGAGCCTCGGGCCGGGCAGAAGAACGCAGTGTGGGGGCCCCAGTGTTCTCCGGGACAGGCGTCTGCAACTTGGAAGCGCCCGCTCGCGACGGCCCAGGGAAGGAAGGCAGCAGGAACCAGCCCGCCCGCCGGGCGGCGCCTTTCCGGGAACTCCGCGTCCCCGGCTCCATCTCCGGCTACTAGTCTCTCAGATGCGACTCCGAGAGGGGGGCCTACACAGCCTTGGCCTTGCCCAGCGGCGGGGTCGGGGCTCGAGGCAGATTCCTGCGCCCGCGGGAGAGCCACACACGGCAGCGGCGTCGGCACCGAGCGGCAGACCACAGCACCGAGAGATTAGCACAGGAGGCGACCGCGGAGGCGAGAGCCATCCTGGAGGAGGAGGAGGAGGAGGAGGCGTCCTAGTCCGCGCGAGACCTCTCCAACATTTATGGGAGCCCTCCCGAGGCGGCGGCGGCCACTTTCCCAGGGATACCGACCGTTACGAGGCCCGAAGGAGCGCGCCGCCGCGAAGGCTGGGTAGACGGGGAAGCCAAGGTAGAAGCGAAGCCCAAAATGGCCGCAGAGCGGACGGCGGGGATGGACAACTTAGAGCTACCGGATGAGACGAAGGGCGGCCGGAGACTACGCCACCAGCCGGGCGTAACCCAACATATTTCTCAAAACCCCGGGGGCGGGTTTTTCCTCACACTTCCGCGCGGCGGCTGATTGGTCTGCCGGATGTCCCCGTCGGCTTCCTTACTCTCGGCGGAGCGGCTCGGCACGCGGAAGGTTGCATCAGCCAGACCCGATCTCTGCGCATGCGCGGGAGGCCGGGCGCGTGGTCTCCTAGGAGACCGCACCCCCCGCCCTCCGGGTTAAAGGGGAGGACTTGGAACGAGGGGGTGGGGGCGGCTCGAGGTAATTTGTGAATTTTCACCTGTTGTTTTAGGGGCTGGCTACTCTGGAAATGTATACGCGTAGTTTAGACTTATATATCGATGTTGCGGTGCTGTTGAGTGCTAAGTAGACCGTCGAACGGAGATCTGTACGATATGAATTGGGTAATGCTGTGTAAATGTATGTCTGGTATTAAAACAATCATCTGAAATGAATAATAAAAGTGAAAAAGCTCAATAAAAGTGAAAAGTATATTAATAATAGTTTTCATGGTAAAGGATTGAAATATGGAAATTAATTACGAGAAGTCATTGTTCCTCTTTTTGAGATGATAAGAAATGAATTTCGCGCGTACTGTGGCTTCCGCCTTAGGATTTCTAAATCACTAGTTAGCGTTGCCTGGGATCAAGGTGTGAGGTCCTTGCACCGTCCACTGGCAAGTGTACCCAGTGGGAATGAAGATTCAGGTGGCTTCCCCTTAATAAGACTACAGGGTGGGGGGCGAACCCAAGTCACAAAAGGGCAAGCCCCCCCAAATTATTCTCTGTCATCTATGCTTTTACCAGCAGGCCACAAGTTCAACTTACACGTCTTAAGCAACTGGAGCCACAGGGCCAGACAACCAGTAAGGGAAGCAGAAGCGACCATTAAAAAAAAATTGGCAGGTTTGTATTCTTGTGAATTTGGTGTTATTTCTGCTAAAACATTTTAATCAACTGCTCCACAGTCAAATGACAAGGACAGAAGGAGAGTAGTATTTAATGAAAACTAGGGACATGGAAAATTTTTTTGAGAGCTGAGGGAGGGGGAAGGCAGCAGCTCCTCCTGGGCCTGTTCTGGGACAACTCTTTTCTAGGAAATCAAGCGGTCCTCCATTTATCTGTTTATGCCTTACTATCGTGTTATCCATATCTGGAAATACATATTTTCTCAATCCTAAAGACTTTAGAAAAGTATATTAATAATAGTTTACGGGCTGGGGAAATGGCTCAGTAGAATAAGTGCATACCTGAGTTCAGAACCCCGGTTCCACCAAAAAAAAAAAAAAAAAAAAAAAAATTTCATGGTAAAAGATTCAAATATGCAAATTAATTATGAGAAGTCATTGTTCCTTTTTTTGAGACAGGGTGTAGCGGGCAGTTCAGGCTGGCCTGGAATTCACTTTGATCCCTCTGCCCAGCCTCTCCAGTGCTGGGGTAACAGCCACGTGTCACGCAAACCACACGGACACGTAGTACCTTTTTTTTTTAAATTATTTATTTATTTTTATTTATTACATTTATTTATTGTGTGTGTGTGTGGCCAGCTCAGCCCACCAGGGGGCGGGGCTGGCTGGCATGTGGTGCTGGGGGATTGAACCGCGGTCCCTGTGCTTTGCTAAGCTTGTTCTAAGTAGGTGCTTTAGACCACTGAGCCATCTCTCCAGCCCCACGTAGTACCTTTTATTGTAAAGTGGGGCTAATAGAATTCTGTCAGTGGGCAGAGGGCTAGAACTAGGTTCTCATGCAGCGCCAGCCACAGTTAGCGCACGGAGGGTAAACATGACTTGTTCGCCCCGTGCTATTCTGCTTCACAGGCTTCCCCTGCTTCCCACAGCCTGCAGAATAAAGGCTCCATTCAGCCTGTCCTCCCACGATGCTCTCCAGCCTCGTCCCCCACTTCCTCACATCTCTTCATGCATGCTGCGCTCAGGAACCCTGGGCTCGGTGCCCCTGCTTTCATACCGTTCCTTATGCTGGCTCTTGGCCAGGAAAGTCGGCACTTTTTCATGTTATTGACATTCTTATAACTCAAGATCCAGCTCAAATGTTACTGTAGGCTTGGAGCCTGGGCTGCCCTTTCCAGTCAGAATTCATTGAGCCCTTCCAGCATTTTAGGATGTATCCCTGGCAATGTTTGCTCCTGCTGCTCCCTGAGCTCCTCCTGAGGGCTGGATCCTACATATATATAGCACAGTGGTGTAGTGCCCTTGAGGCTTCTTGTTTGTTTGTTTGTTTGTTTGCTTGTTCCTTTGGGACAGGATCTCACTATGCAGTCCAGGCTGGCCATGAATTCACTATGTAGCCCAGACTGGCCTCAAACTGGCAGTGATCCTCCTGCTTCAGCTTCCCAAGTGCTAGGGTTACAAATCATGTACCACCCCACCCAACTCTGAAGTTCCTCTTTTGAAACCATTTTGAAGGATCCTTACAGTAAAAGTAAGACATATTTTTGTCAAAAATCTAGCTTTCATTTTCTTTCTTTCCCTCCTCATTCTTGCTAGACACGTGCTTTACCACTGAGCTGCATCCCTAGGCCTTTTCATTTTGTTTTGAAACGAAAATTCACTTGAGTTGTCCAGGCTGGTTCAAATTTGAAATCCTGCCATAATGCCTGCATGCATAATCATGTTGAGGTGTTTCCACATTTTTTTCTCATGAGTGTATAATGAAGTCTTCTACAGGATGTTTGGTATATGATTTTGCAAGAGAGTGGATGTAAAAGCAACTATAGGAGGCTCCCTCTAGTTTATATTATTGCAGACACAAAGATTTTGGGAACTCCCTTGTTTTCATTTTTGAGACAGGATCTCTTATTGTTCAGGCTGGCTTTGAATTCACTATGTAGCCCAGGCTGGCCTCAAACTCGGAGTGATCCTCCTGCCTCAGCCTCCCAAGTGCAGGTATTACAGGCATGTGCCACCACACCTGGCTGTCACTCTTGATACAACATCTTCTGTTTTGAAAAATAATTTTTTGTTTATTTACAATGTAGTTAGATGTTGTAGCACGTTTGTAATTCCAGAAATCAGGAGACTATGGTAGGAGGATAACTGTGAGTTCAAGACCAATCAGAACTACATATTGAGGGGGCCTGCCCCTTAGCTCAGTTCTTTAAGTGGCTGCTTCAGCAAAGCAGTCAGGCTCAGGTTGCTGTGGTTCGATCCCCACAACTCAAGCCAGCCAAAC